CCTCGCTGCCATTCGTGGCCCCGTTGCAGCCCTTCGTGGCCCCCTCGCTGCCCTTCGTGGCCCCCTTGCAGCCCTTCGTGGCCCCATGTATGAATGCCCTTCGTGTCACCCGCTCGTGCGCGCCCGTCGTGGCCCCATAGTCGTGCCCTTCGTGGCCCCGCTGTCGCCCTTCGTGGCCCCCTCGCTGCCCTTCGTGGCCCCGTTGCTGCCCTCAGTGGTCCCGTCCTTGCCCTCCGCGGCCCAATATACGCATGCCCTTCATGGCCCCCGCTCGTTCGCGCCCGTCGTGGCCCCACGTGCATGCCCTTCGTGGCCCCGCTGTCGCCCTTCGTGGCCCCCTCGCTGCCATTCGTGGCCCAGTTGCTACCCTCAGTGGCCCCGTCGTTGCTTTGAGTGGCCCCGCATCATCTGCCCTTCGTGCCCCCCGCTCGTTCGCGCTCTTCGTGGCCCTATACGCATTCCCTTCGTTTTCCCCGCTGTCGCCCTTCGTGGCCTACTTCGTGCCCTTCGTGACCCTGCTGTCGTTTTCTCTCTCGCTCTCGCTTTCGCTCGTCGTCGTCGTCGTCGTGGTCGGTCCCCTGTCCGTCCCTGTTGGGGTCGGGTTGCCGCCGAGCAGCGGTGCCGCTGGCCAGGCCGACGCTCCATGGCCGCCCCGCCGCTTGCCGGGTCCAGGTCTGCAGGGAAGATAGATATCCCCCTCAAAAGGGGTACGGTCGAAGACGAAGAGGGCGGGTGTCGAGGGTTTGGGAAATACGCGTCCACGGACACTCGAGCAGATAAGAGCGAACAGTCTTAAGCTTGTTGTTGTTGTAGTTGTTGTTGAACTCTCATTCTTGAAGAATAATTATTGTTGATCCCCCCTCACCGGTGCACATTCATTTTTTCAATTGAAGTGCCCCCCCCTGGCACTCGCACCTTGTCTTTTGTCCAGGAAAGCCTTCCTGTTCAAACTGGCCCCCTGCCCCCCAGACTACAACAACAACGGCTCCCGCCTGAGACCGCCTCACAATTTAGCCAGGACCCCCGCTCCCGCCCGAGACTTCCTCGTATTTTATTCAGGCATCGCGCTCTCGCTTGGGACTTCCTTACAATTTATTCAGGAATCGCTCTCCCAGCGCTCTGGAGTCGCGCTTTCGTTGGAGACTCGCTTGCAATTTGCTCAAGAATTGCGCCCTTGCGTTGGATTCTTGCAATTTACTCAAGCGCCGCGCTCCCGACACCCAGGCACCTAGGAGTCGCGCTCACGCCTTTGATTCCTGCACAGATTACTTAGGATCTCGCTGCCCTTCGTGGCCCCGTTGCAGCCCTTCGTGGCCCCCTCGCTCTGTTTCGCGGCCCCGCTGCAGCCCTTCGTGGCCCCCTCGCTGCCCTTCGTGGCCCCGTTGCAACCCCTCGTGGCCTCCTCGCTGCCCTTCGTGGCCCCGCTGCAGCCCTTCGTGGCCCCCTCGCTTTGTTTCGTGGCCCCGTTCCGGCCCTTCGTGGCCCCCTCGCTGCCCTTCGTGGCCCCTTCGTAGCCCTTCGTGGCCCCGTTGCAACCCTTCGTGGCCCCCTCGCTGCCCTTCGTGGCCCCGTTGCGGCCCTTCGTGGCCCCCTCGCTGCCCTTCGTGGCCCCATATATGTATGCCCTTCGTGGCCCCTGCTCGTTCGCGCCCGTGGTTGCCCCATATGCATGTTCTTCGTGGCCCCGCTGTCGCCCTTCGTGGCTCCCTCGCTGCCCTTCGTGGCCCCGTTGCTGCCGTCAGTGGCCCCGTTGTTGCTCTCCGCGGCCCAACATACGTATGCCCTTCGTGGCCCCTCGCTCGTTCGCGCCGGTTTTGGCCCCATGTGCATGCCCTTCGTGGCCCCGCTGTCGCCGTTGCGGCCCTTCGTGGCCCCCTCGCAGCCCTTCGTGGCCCTGTCGCAACCCTTCGTGGCCCCCTCGCTGACCTTCGTGGCCCCGTTGCGGCCCGTCGTGGCCCCCGCTTGTTCGCGCCCGTGGTTGCCCCATGTGCATGCCCTTCGTGGCCCCGCTGTCGCCATGTGTGGCCCCCTCACTGTCCTACGTGGCCCAATTGCTACCTTCAGTGGCCCCATCGTTGCCTTCTTTGGCCCCGCATTATCTGCCTTTCGTGGCCCCCGCTCGTTCGCGCTTTTCGTGGCCCTATACGCATTCCCTTCGCGTCCCCGCTGTCGCCCTTCGTGGCCTACTTCGTGTCCTTCGTGGCCCTGCTGTCGTTCTCTCTCGCTCTCGCTTTCGCTCGTCGTCGTCGTCGCCTTCGTCGTCGTCGCCGTCGTCGTCGTCGTCGTCGCCGCCGTCGTCGTCGACGTCGTCGTCGTCGTCGTCCTCGTCGTGGTCGGTCCCCTGTCCGTCCCTCTTGGGGTCGGGTCGACGGTCCGCGGCCGCCCCGCCGATCAGCGCTGCCGCTGGCCAGGCCGACGGTCCGCGGCCGCCCCGCCGCTTGCAGGGGCCCGGCCTGCAGGGAAGAAAGGTATACCCCCCAAAATGGGTTCGATCGAAGACGGAGAGGGCGGGTATCTAGAGTTTGGGAAATTCGCGTTATTTGGCACTCGAGCAGATAAAGGGCGAACAGTCTTAAAATGATTGTTGTTGTTGTTGGTGTTGTTGTTGCTGTTGCTGTTGCTGTTGCTGTTGTTGTTGTTGTTGTTGCTGCTGTTGCTGCTGTTGTTGTTGTTGTTCAACCTTCAGAACAGACGGCTAATCATTGCTCTCGCCGGAGGCTTCTTTGCAATTGTTCAGAAATCGCGCTCTAGCTTGAGCCTTTCATGCAATTTGCTCAACTTTCGGGCTCCCGCCCGGAATTTCCATAGAGTTTACTTAGGAATCGCCCTCTAGATGCTCAGAAATCATGTTCTCGCTTGGGACTCCCTCACGATTTTATCAAGAATTGCGACGTTGCCACTCAGGAGTTGCACCCTTGCACATGGCGTCCTTGCAAATTACTTGCCTGAGACTTCCCCCCAATATTTCGGAGGCGTCGTGAACCAATGTCCCGCCCGGCCTACCCGCCCCTCAGGGTCTTCCAGGCCGATTGCTCCGAATCCCACCCGCCCGCTCAAGTTTCCCGGCTGGCCGACCTGCCTTTGAGAGTCCGCCCGCCGGACCCGCCCGAACCGCTTGCTAGGGTCCGCTGCTCGACCCCCGTCCGCCCGGTCGCCTGAAAGTCACACGCCGCCCGCGTCACTGTCCCGCCCACCCGTTCCGCCCGTGGAGGGTCCGCCCACCCGCCCCGCTCCACCAGGGTCCGCCCGCCCGTGAGTGTGCTCGTCCGTCCGACCCGTTTGGCTAACCCTGTCGAGGTTTACACAGGATGTGGCATGAAGAAAGACGCCCCACGAGAGGGCGTACATCCATAAGCCACGGGTGTGGGAGCCGAACAAGGGTCACGCGGGCAGTAAAGAGAGAATCGTATCAACATGACTCCGTTCTCGTTTCCGAAATCATTACCTAACAGCTCTTGCTGATAGGTTTCTAGTGGTCTCAAAAGAGAGCATCATGACTCCTCAGGGGGGTCTGGGCGGGACCCGGACAGGCTGCCGCCGAAGCCGACGCCGAAGCCGAAATCGCTTTGGACAT